TTTTTTTTTTTTTTTTTTTTTTTTTGCACCGCCGTTGTCCTTTTATAGGCGCTTTTTTTATTCCCCCTCCATCTGGGGAGGGGAATGGAATTTGTTTGGTTTCACCCACGAAGGAGGCTATACGGTCCCCATTTGCTCTTCTCTCTCTAGTTTTGGCTGGCTTTTTTTTTTTTTTTTTAGGCTCCTCTGAGGAAAGTATGGGTGGGAGGAGAGTTCTCTGCACAGTGGCCCCGCTCATGGCCCTTGTGGTGCTGTCACGCGGGTTGGTCCCCCTGTTATGCGCACCCGCTGTTGTGGATGCGGGGGATGAAGGCAGAAGTGCTCCGTTTTTCTGTGTGTGTGTTTCGGTTCTTGTGTTGTTGTTGTTTTCGCTACCGGCGCTCCCGTCTGCTTTTTGGTCCGTCACCCCGCGGCGGATGGCACATGCGAAATGAAACCGCATTGTGGGGGCCACCCCTCCTCCCTGCTGCATTTTGACGTCGGCTGATGTGCGGCTGCAGGAACACTGAAGGAGGCGGGAGGGGTAGAATTGAGCGTCCAAGGGCCTTCACTCGAGCATCGGGATGTGTTTGTGTTTTTTCTCTTCTCCTTTTTTTTTTTTTGTGTGTGTGTCTTTTACACGTCAGCGTAGGATTTAGAAGAAGATCAGCCGAGAGCTTTATTTTTTCGTCCGTACACACACGTGCAGCGAATTGGCAGCCGCGCCCTTACGCATGCACACCCCACTGGCCATTACACCCCCTGCGGAATCGAAGTTTTTTGCTCTGCTCCTGCCTCTTGCCGCAGTGACCGTTGGAGCTCTTTCTTTCGCACGAATCTGCCGCCGATGCATTGTCCGTGTGTACCCTAGCTGTGTCACAATTGTATATGAGACACGCCGAAAGACCATTTTGACAACTTCAATGGACAAGGAGCGGGGGGCAAACGACGATATGACGCATTTCTGTCATTTTCGTCCTCTTATGTGCATGATTAGGTATTTCTTGTACAGCAGCAAAAGTCTGGTGGTTCTCCCTCCCACCTCCTTCTTTGGCGTCTTCACGTTACCACGTGCCGTGCTTGAAGAGTGTGGTGAGGGAAGAGCTGTGGACTGCACGGTGGAAGCCATCCAGGTGACGGATGGATATGTCCGTATGGTGCTGACGATACGGTACTGCATTCCTTTTCAGCAACTCGAGCGGTATTTGGCGGCTGTGGGGCCAATGCCGCCAAATGAGCGAATTGCCATGGCCGCAGCTGCTGCCGCCAAGGCTCGTGCCGCCGAACTCTCCGTCGGTTTGATTATCAATAAGTCGAGGCGAGAAGATTCATTTTTAGTTTCATTTCGTGAGCATTTGGCATCTAAATTAATATCAGAGGCCTGTGTAAAGCTGATAGATGCCACCGTTGAGAGTGCTGAAATTTGTGACAAGCGGACAAATGTTTAGTTTATGCTTTAATTGAACATGTGTGCTTTTGTGCGCATTATTAGAGGAGTTGGGAGAGAGGCGATGAGGCACGGATGGAACAGAAGTCATATTTATATTTATTTATTTATTTATTTATTTATATATTTTACATATAAATATAATTAAACGCACACAGACAGACACAGAAACAGACACAGTGAAATCATTATTGGGTATTATCCCCATGAACTCCTCCTGCAGCTGATGGTGGTGTGTATCAAATGTCATGGCATCGTTCTTATCGTGATGTTCCCTTTCTTTTTCTCTGTCTCTTTTTCTCTTTCTCTTTTGCTTTCTTTTTCTGTTCTTTTTGTAAACACATATAATTATCTTTTTTTTCTTTCTTTCTTTCTTTCTTTCTTTCTTTCTTTCTCTCTGTCCCTTTCATCTTTGTTTGTCTGCGTTTTGTTTCCAGATTTCAATACTATTATTTTTATTATTATTATTATATATAATACGATAAGTTACTCCCTCTCACTCTCACTCTCTCTCTCTGTCTCTCTCTCTCTAGCCGTCTGTGTCTGTGTGTGTCTTGTGCTTCACTTTGGTGGAAATGACGTCCGTCGAGCTTGTCTCAAATCCCACAAATGAGTTGAGTACACATCGGTGGACGGTCAATGGCTTGAAGCACCTAAACCGCAAGAACAAGCTGAGTTCCCTGCCATTTTGGGCGCCAAACCCCGTTATGAAGAAGCATCAATTTCGTTGCGTCCTCATCCGAGGAATGTTGGCGAGGGGTCGGGCGGATGATGACCACATCGGGTTGCTTCTCGAACTGATTCCACCCCCGACGGGTGACGATACGACATACCCGGGTGGATGCTCCATCACCGTCCGAGTGGTGAACCGCGTGCATGAGTCCGGCATCCACAACATAGAACAGACGGAAACGGTTGTATTTGCGCCAGGGCAGCTGCAGGCGTGTTTTCCTGAACTCATCCCTCCAACGATCCTTAACAACCACGAGTTTGTGGAGGGGGATGGGATGTCATTGTTATTGGAGCTAACGATACAAACTGGCGTGAATGTAGCAGTGGAATGGGCCAATAAGACCGTCTCTAGGGTCTGGGATGCCGTTTGCGACTCGGTGAACAAGGTGGTGCGGAAGGTGACAAAGGCGTACGCCGAGACACGGGAGGAGTACGGCACGAGTGTAGTGAAGGAAGAGCCACAAAGTGTGCCGTGGGACATTGTGCCGGAGAATTGGGTTGGGAGGGAGAAGGAGTGGCGCCACCTTATATCGGAGCAAATTGTGGAGGATGAGGGGACATTTCGTTATGGCCCCAACAGAGGCTTCTCAAAGGATGAACAGGCCCTTTTGCTGCAGTGCGGAATCAACCAGCGTCTTATTACAAACGCACACGCACAGTTTGACTACGACCGCGACGTCCACGCGGGTTTGTTGGTCCCGCCTGGAATACGGCAACAGCGCTACAAACTGGTTCCTGGAAAGATAAAGGAGGAAGTATTTTGGGCCAATTATTTCTGGAAGGTGGCTGCGTTGGGTCTGTGCAAAAACGATGAACAGGTGCGAATGCTAGTTACTGTCCTCAATGCACCACCCGCAGTAAAGGCACGAGATATTTCTTCCATTGGGAGCGTGGACGAGAAGACCGTCCTTGAACATATAAAAATTGCTCAAGAAACGGCCGACATGCTTGTGGAGTATCTCACAGATGAGGCGCCGTATGGCGAGATGTTAGTGGAGGCGGCAGCCACCTCTTGTCAAGGTCAAGTCAAGCAATTAGATGGTTACTTTAAACGTACAGACTTATCGGAGGAAACACTAAAAATGACGGGTGTTGTGTTAAGACGGCTGCGGGAGCGACTTGTTTTGTACGCGGAGTGGAAGGAGAAACACCCTGTCCCTTTCATTTTACCAAAAGAGAGTGAATGCAACGATTATCATGAGGGTCAAGGCACCGCTTCTGCGGAGCCATTAGACTCTATTCATGCTTCTGTTTCAAGCAAAAGCGAAGCGAAACAAGAATTTACCGCTGATTCCAGGGAACCCCATGCGACATCAACGAATCCGCCAAAGGAAGCGGGTGACCCCGCAAGGGACAAGGTGGAATTTCCACTGATGCCATGGGAAGAAGAAGAGGCGGAGGAGCAGAAACGGAAGAAGGAAGAGAAGAAAGACAAATAAAAGGAAGAAAAGGTTAAGAGGTGCTGGAGAGGAAAGAGAATTTGTGTACATGAAGTTAGAACAGAGCGAAGCACGTCTTGTCCAACTGTTTATTCGTATTTTTTTTTTTTTTTTTTGTGTGTGTGCTGTTATTTTTATTGTTCTTGTTTAGGTGGGAAGGAGATAGTGGAAAAGGATGAGGGAAGACCTGGCGTGTTCCCATCCTCTCCTTTACATATATATATGTATATGTACATACATATATACATACCAGCTGCTTCTTTATATATATATATATTTGTGTCTCCTTCTACTTCCTTGCTGTTCTTTGTTGCTGGTTTTTGGTTGTGTCTTGCCCTGGCCTGTATTTATTTCTATTTTTGGTTTAAATGCGTTTATTACCCTTTTTTTACGCCTCATATTTGGTTTTCATTTCTTTTATGTGATCCATAAAATAAAAATAAAAGAAAATAATAAATAAATAAGTAAATAAATAAATAGGATGCGTAGGATCACGGCGTTTTGCTTGAAATCACTTGTCGCCACGTGTGCGCGGAGCATAGCAACGGGTGGACGTGTCACAAACGAAGATCGCCGCTGGTGGTTAATTCACTTGGAGTGTGCGCCCGATGTCACGCCGGGTACATTTGTCGCGTGGCTTGATTGCTGCGGCACGCACACCACCAAGAAGCTGATTGAGCGAAACATATGGACCATTGAGCAGGTGGCACAGCTGGACTCCGATCAGGTGGACGAATTGAAGTATAGGGAGGGGTGTTTGAAAATGGATGTCGTCTGGGAACATGCCCGCACCATTCTCATACCGCTGCAGCAACGTGAGGCAACTGGCGGCGTTGAGTCCGAGCTGCAGAGTCGTATTTTGGAACTTCGAAAGAAGCGTGAGCTCGAACGAAAGCGTGAGGAGCTGTTGAAGGAGCGAGCAAATATAATCGAGCAACGCGAAGCGACACTGCGCAAATTGCGGGAGGCAATTGCGGCAAAGAAGGCAGCCATCCTCCAAAAGAAGCAAGAAATAGCAGAAGACGCCGATAACAAAAAAGACAACAGTAGTGCGTCTTCTTCGTCGACTTGATGTGGGCATCTTTGTGTTATTTCTTGCTCTTTTTGATAATTATTCGGGTGGTGGTATTGGTGGTGATGTGAAGAGGAGGAGGAGGAGGAGTGACTACTGTGGGGGATGGAAAGGTGCGTGTTTGATGCAGCGTGCATGATGGCCTCTACTAGTAAGAGATTTGCTGTGCCTGACAATTGGAGGACATGAGGGGGAGGGAAGGAGGAGGGAGCACCATTTTGTTCTTGTTGTTGTTGTTGTTGTCGTTCTGATTTCCCTCTTTTTTTTTTTTCTTTTGTTCCTGTCGCTACCGAATGATGAATGGAGAGGTATGAAGAGGGGAGGGGAAGGTGTGAGATGTGAATTAATTAAATTCCTCCGCAATGCGTGGGGATTTCTGCGTATTTTTTTTCGCCAGACATTTTTCTTTATTTGTTTATTCTTGACCCCCCTCCTCCTCCCCCTGAGTACATTAATTCCTTCTTGCATGATTCCCCCCCCCCCCCTTTTTTTTTAGTCTTTAAAAAGTGGCGCTGCGGTTGTAACGGGGTATGTCAGTATTTTCTGTGGGAAATGGTGCTTGACGGTGTGGGCATTTCTCTGTGCTGCAGTTGTCGTTTCTTCTCTCTTCCTCTCTCTCTCTCTCTCTCTCTCTCTCTCTCTCTCTCTCTCTCTCCATTGTCATTCTGCTTCTTTTGCTTCGTGTGCGTCGCTTCTCCTGCGTGTGTATCCTCACGAAGGAGGATAAGAAGGAAAAGGGGGTTGCGGCTTTCCAGCTGCACCAACGTGGCACATATCTTAGGGGAGCGTCTGTGAAGAAAAGGGCGAATAAAAAATGGATGTCAATTTTTTCTCATACATGTGGCTGCGCTACTGGCCTTGTGTCGTCTTCTTCTTTTTCTTTTTGCTTGCGAGACGGAGGAATGCCTCAAATATTTTGTTTTCTTCTTTCTCTCTGCTTTTCTGTTCGTGTGTGGTTGAGTGCTTGTTGGAGTGTTGAGGTTGAATATCGTCTGTCGGGGAGACCGACGGGGGGAGGGAATCGATTCCCTGAAACTTTATTTTCATTCGGAACGGCAAATGATGACCACTCACCGAGTCGTGGCTTTCGGGCCTTTGAAATTGTCGTGCGACGTGTGGGGCTGAACCGTCAGCAGGGCGGGGCTCTTGGCAGCCCGGGCGGCAAACGTCAACGGCCGCATGCGGCACCCGCGGATTTACGCCGGGAAGGCGGTTGAGAGACGGAATCCTTTTGGCTGCGCAGGCTTTCGTGCCTTTCGTCATTCTTCTTGGGAGAAATTTGGCTGCTCTGCGGGCACTCGGGACACCGCGCTGTTTGTGCCCTGCTGGATTGCGTCCTCTCATTTCTTTTTACGGTTCTTTTCTGGCGGCACGAGAGTGGCTGTGACGATGTGCCCGGAGATGTAAGGAATGGGCGTTGGCGCGGGGATGAGCGGTGTCGATGGCTGGAGCAGCCCACCGCATAGCCAATCGGGTTTTTTTTGTGTGTGTGTGTGTGCTTGTGTTGACAAGAGACATGTTCTTTTTCCTCTTCACTTCCTTTTTTTTTTCCCCGGTTTATTTCCTCACATTCTGTGGAATTGAAAGGGAATCAACCCGATTTTGTTGTTGTTGTTGTTGTTTATGAGCACAGTGGGCCCTCATGGTTTTGTCATCATTTATTTACTGTCTGTTTCTTTAATTCTCCTTTTTTGTCATGTGGTGTCGGTGGTGTACAGATGTCTTCATGGGAGCTTCAGTTGGTGGAGGTGCTTGAGCGGTACTCAATTGGTCACCTCATTGGAAGATTTATGGACGCCGGAATGTCGTGTGATGACCTCTTGTCACTTCACATTGACCAGTACCGCAACTACGGCGTCACCGATGATGAGAAGATCCATTTGTACCAGGCAATACAGCACCTTCGACGGGAGGCGAATGGGAGAATAAAGCCCTCGTCGCCCGAGGATTCCCTGATGATGATGCCAACGTTTTCAGTAAGGCCAACAATGTCAGCAGACATAGATGAACTCTCGGATGAAAAGGAAAGCAGGGAAAGGCAGTACACAGAGCGCGGCACGACGGTCTTAACAAAGTCCGCCGACAGTCGGGAGATCAAACGGCGTAAAAGCCGCATTGTCGTGGCAGTTCGAAAACGGCCCTTGAACCTTGTTGAGTCACAGCGTGGCTTTGCAGATGTGATATCGACGAATAGCCTGGATGAGCTTCTGCTTGCGGAGCCGCGCCAGAAGGTGGATCTCACAAAGTACACGCATACGCACCGGTTTTTCTTTGATGAAGTTTTTGCGGAAACGGCCACGAACGCCGATGTGTACCGTCGCACGGCCGCCACATTAATCGACACCGTCTTTGAGGGCGGGTTTGCCACGTGCTTTGCGTATGGGCAGACAGGAAGTGGGAAGACGCACACAATGTTGGGGAGCGGAACAGAGCCTGGTATTTACGCCCTCGCCGCGGAAGAAATGTTCGCCCGCATTGACAGTGGCAAAGATCTTTACGTGTCTTTCTATGAGATATATAGCGGAAAGTTGTATGACCTGTTGAATGGACGTCAGTCGCTGCGATGCCTTGAGGACGGCAAACAGAACGTAAACATCTGCGGGCTGACGGAGCACCTTCAAGCAGACGTGCGTAGCATCATGCGACTTATTGAGGAGGGAAACCGCATCCGAAGCAGCGGCACGACAGGCGCCAATGACACAAGCTCTCGTTCCCATGCCATCCTCGAGATCAAGGCCCGTGGACGCGAGGACAAGAAGTTGTTTGGCAAATTTACATTTATTGACCTTGCCGGGAGTGAGCGGGGCGCAGACACGCTGGACTGCGACCGTCAGACACGCATAGAAGGGGCGCAAATCAACAAGAGCCTGCTGGCACTGAAGGAATGCATCCGATCGCTTGATCTTAACCGTCGCCACGTTCCATTTCGCGGGTCGAAGCTGACGGAAGTGCTTCGAGACTCGTTTGTAGGCAACTGTCGTACCGTCATGATTGGTGCGGTGTCACCGGCGAGCAACAGCTGCGAACACACCTTAAATACATTGCGTTATGCGGATCGCGTAAAGGAGTTGAAGAAGAGCATCGGGGAGCGGCGACCCATTGAAGAAAACGAACACAGCGAACTTCTCTTTGAAAAGAAACCGCCCATGCCTGCAGCACGTCCATCCATCAACGGCCGACTTTCCACACCACCAGTGAGTGTGGTGAACCTCCCTAATAACAAGAACGGCAACAAGGGCAACAGCAAGGGCGGCGGTAAATGCAAGAGCAACGGCGCCAACTTGGCTGCGTGGACAAGCGAGGGAAGTCGGCGCTCAGGAGTGATGCGTCCAAGTGGTCTTTTGCCTGCCAAGGCATTAGAAACCAATCGTGGCGAAATTGGTTACAAGCGCGGCCGAGAGTTTGATGACCAGCAACAACAAGCAGAGCTGTTGGCACGAAAGAGTGTGGACCTGGACATTGGGGTTCGCTACGACAGGGTAGTGGACGAAATTGTCAAGCTGGAGCACGTGTGTGTGCAGACCCATCGTCGTTACTTGGATGAAGACATGAAAATCATTAAAGAGGAATTTGCGCAGATTATGTCGGTAGAGATGCCGAACTCGGATATTGATGCATACGTAACTAACGTTCTTAACCTCCTCAATAACAAACTGCAGGCTATCCATCAGTTTCAAGGGGAAATGTTGCGGCTGCGGAGTATGCTAGACGAGGAGGAAGCGCTCTCTCGTCAGCTTGAACAGAGTGGGCAGTAGAAGAAAACACAAAAAGACCGACGGGCAGACAGACAGAGACCAAATGAATGGAAGAAGAAAAAAAAGAAAAAAAAAAAAAAACGCACGTACACAATGAAGTTGAAGTGTATATATACATATTATATACATATAAAAACATAAGGAAAGGGAAATGGGATCCCCGATTAGAATGCGCCCATGGCAGAAGTGAAATGTACCCACAAGCACACACAATAAATTAGAATTGGTTTATTTTTCCTCGTCTTTTTCTTCTTCTTCTTTTTTCGTTAGATGTACCTGCGGTATATTTGGTTACCACAGTTTCTCTTATTTTGTATTTTAGTTTTCTATGTGTGGGCTTTTTTTTTTTTTTTTTTTTTTCTTTTTCTTGTTGTTGCTTTTGCTTTATTGATGAAAAAAAAAAGAAAAGGGAGGGGAGGGAAACCACTGGGAAATATGAATTCATGAGTATGAACGCATTTTAACCTTTCCCACGGATTGTATGCACAGCTACCATTACCCCTTTCTCTTTCTCTCTCTCTCTCTCTTTCTCTCTGTGTGTGTCCATCCGTATATATGTATATGTATATACATGTATGTTTCCTGTTCTTGCCTCGGTTATTTATTTATTATTATATTCCGTTTTTCCCCCTTCTCCTCTATCTCCCACCACACGTAAATACGTATATATATATATATATATACAATGGAGGGGGAAGACAGGGGCAGTTGGCGGTGTAGGAGCATGAGAGATGTTTCGACGCAGTACTTTCAATTTTGATAATGGGTCCGCGGTTACGGGTGGTCCTGTGCAAGGTTTGCACAGTGGTCTACGAAGCATGATTCAGCCTTGTATAGCGGAAAATGTGTTACGGGAAACGGCGGAGATCCGGCGGAGAATGGCCGCTGTGGTAGAAATGGACACAATTGATGGCAAGCCAGCCTACGAGCCGTCACTTCCGCGTCAGTGGGTAAAAGCGCCTCTCTCACGTCTATCGACATCCGCATCCCGCCGAGACTGGTTTCGGCTCATGCAGTTTAATATGATGACCGACGCGTGGAGCCCGGGAGGAAATGCAAACGCCACAACGACACCGGTTCACGGTGTGCAGGCACGTGTGCCGGGCTTCACGCGAACTGGGGCGGATCCGGATGCGTATTACCCGTATGACCCTTCTGTCGACAAGGAGCTGCCGCCCTTCCTTCAACCAGACTTCCGGCGAGCGTATTTGGTAAACGAGATAAGATATTATGATCCGGACATTGTTTGTCTGCAGGAGGTGAACCGCGTGTTTTTTAATGATGTGCTGTGGAAGTATATCCGGTACTGCGGGTATGGCACCTTGTACCAGTCGAGCCGAGGTTACAAAGTTCGAGCACTACGTCGAGGTGACAACCCACTGCTGCCGCGACACAAGGGCAAGATTGAAGAAGCGGAAGATATTGGAAATGTGGTGTTATTTCACAAGGGACGTTTTGTGCCCATTCTCATGCCTGGAAAGGATTTGGTGCAAAATCTACACTTTGCCCATGTTGTCGCCATGCGAGACAAGATAACCAACATGACACTGAACGTCGTCTGCGTTCAATATACCGCCGGAGAATCGGAGGAGGCAGTAAAAATTCGTTTGCATGAGGCACGACAAACACTGCAGGTTCTTGATGCTCTGAATCGCAATGACACCGACCGTGCACACATGTCTAATGCGATTTGTGGCGATTTTAATAACGTTCATGACGAAGAAGCCTGTGTGCAGTTGATGCGAGAGCGCTTCTTTTCTATGCACGATGTTGTAGGGGGACCTCGATGGACCACGTGGTTTCACGAAGATGCGCAGACCTCTGCCAAGTATCAGAAGTACTATGCACGCAACCGTGACTGCTTTGAGGAAACCGACGCCTCAAAGCGGGCAGAACGCGAAGTGGCCAAATACACGAGAAGACCGATCGGCGGTCAAAACGGTGATGGGAAAATGGTGTCAGCAATCAACTCGGAGGCGGAGAAGGCACCGTGCGATGCTAAACCTGCCGTGGGGCAAGAGGACGACTGTGAAACGCAGAAAAAAGAGGGGAATGAAGCGACGGCGATGATGGTGGAAGAGGAGCGGCAGGACGCGCTGGCATTGCGAAAACAAACCCTGAAAGCGAGTGGCATCATTTATCGCACGCAGGACTTCGTTTTCTACGAACCCCAGACACTAGCACTCCATCAGGTGTTGGATGTGCCAGAGGAAACGCACATCAACGAACAGCAGTTGTTGCCGTGTGGCAAACATCCATCGCACCATATTCATCTTGTGGCGGATGTCTCATTCACGGATGTGTTTCCGGATGTCGCCCTGAAATCCCTAAAAGACTAGTAGTTGCAAAAGGTACGACAACTCGGCGATATATATATATATATATATTACTTATTACGCATACATATCTCTCTCTTTCTCTTTCTTTGTGGATCATATGTTTTGTTTCTATTTGCTTTGCATTATTAACTGTTCTTGTTTGTTTCTCGGTGGTTATACTCCCTCTCTCTTTTGTACAAATAGTAAAGCGACGAAAAAAAGGCAGGAGGAAAAGGGCCGTGTGAAGAGACAGTCACAATGAATTATACTCAAGCAGGCAAAATGGGCCATTGGAGGCGGCCTACTGAAGAACAGCGGTGGAACCTCTTGGAGGAAATTTACGCCAATTATGAGGAGGTCAACGCACAGCAGCAGGAAATAGCCAAGCGGAAACGTGAGATGGGCGCGGAATTGCTTGATGGCAATCAGAATAAAATTTTTCGGATTCTTTTCAGTGAAAACCCCTCCAATACCGCTCGCTTCGGGGATTGGGACACGTACGAGAAAATAGAGCAGACGCTGAAGAAATTTGTGTATACTCGCGGTCAGAATGTTTCCAGCGAGGATACAAAAGAGGCGGCCCTTAGTGAGCAAGTTGATAATCTAAAAAATATTCGTGCAGAGCAGAAAAAACGCATTGCGTCGCTAGAAGTATCGCTGGCATCCGCGCACGAAGAGTTGGCAGGAGTCATGGATATGCTGCGGCTCAAGGACAAGGAGATTGCAAAAATGAAGCGGTTTTTTCTCGTGAAGCAGCTGAAGAATTCCCAAAAGCTGCGGGAGAATGAGGAGATGGATCCCGAGGATCCTTCTGCGGCGAAAAGGAAGGAAGTTTATGAAGACATGCAGGCAATTATTGCAGTTAATAAATCCATTGAAAAAGAGAATGCGCGACTACGCAATGCGTTGAAGGCGAAGGATTTCGTTGAGTGGGTTGACACCAGCGGTTCCGCTGCAGCAATTAGGAGATCGGCCCGTGGACCGGCCTACGGAGAGCAGAAGACCAACAGCAGCAGGGCCAGCTCCTTTGTCAATGATGACAGAAGAACAAGCATGTCCCACGCTGGAAATTCACCTCGTACACGTACCCCAGGCAGTCCGCGGAGGCAGGTGGTGGGATTATTCGACGCGACGGACCTGCAATCCTCCAATAAAAATGGCAAGCAAAAAAACAACACGGCAACCCAAATATGTGAAACCGGCCACGCAGGCAGCAGCCAAAGAGCAAACAGTGGGGTATCAACCGATGGAGTAGAAGCAGATGAATTGAAGGGAGATATTCCTTTGGAGGCAACGACTGGGTTTCAACGGCGCACCAGTGTACTCTCCCGATCAGAGAGCGGCGTCACGACGTTCAGCAACGAAGCTGCGGACTCGAATACACTTGCAGAACCTGAAGCGAGAAAAAAATATATTCAGGAACGAGCTCCCATGACTAGTCTGCTCATGAGGCTTCACGCGGAACGTATGATGTGGAAACGCCGACTGGAAGCTGAAATAGCCAACGCCATGTCCCTTCTTGACTATGATTCCTACGTGGGGCACGCTGCCAATCATGAATCAATACAGGACTCTGTTGGTCCTAACGTGTTAAGTTTGGCAAAATTTGAAGTTAGGACTTTGAACCAGTCTGAAAGTGACATCCATCTTTATTCCTCTAACGAAAGCCTTGACAGCCACGGAATGGTATTACTGCGGGATTCTTACCGAGGGAATACAGCAAATCCGGAAAATGAAGCTTCCCTGCCAAGTACTGGCGACTTGAATGCAGCAAATTTAGGAGATGGCAATGTAAATGACACTATAGAAGAGAGCAAAGGCCGTGAGAGCTCAGTGGGCTCAGCAGAGGACGAGACATCCCTATCGGATACGAGTAAACAGACGAAAAAAAAGGCAAGAAGAAGTCCTGAGGCGCTTGATTCTGAGAGCGCGGCAAAGTCGGAGATCCAAATGTTGCAACATGCGGATGTTTTTGAGCCGGCGTCATTTATTGAATCTTCTGCAATTCTTCTCTCACAATCTGGTAAGGAGGATGGACAAGACCGTGTATCGGCAGGGGACATCTGTAGTGACTTGAATCACGAAAAAAATGTTGTGTTATCCCCCGTGTCGACAGCAGTGGAGGAAGTGGTGGTGACAACCCGGAAGGAAACACCTAAGGGTGCATCCATGGTTCCTCTTTGGTCCTCTGGTGACGAACGGAAGGCGAAACCAGTTGATGAAACCTCCGAATGTTTGACAATTGGTAGGGCCTCAACAAACACGTTCATTGATGAAGAGCAGCAGGGGAAGAAAACTGCAGCAAATGAAGTAAATTCAGAGACTTGTATAACTCTGGTAGGGCATCACGATGCGTTTCGTGTGTTAAAGACGGAAATGAAGAGAATTCGGGATGAAAATCAATTTATGCGTTCTGAAATGGATAAATATTTCTCTCTCTTGGGCCAAATTCTTAGCGTGTTGCGAGAACGTGACGGACAGGTGGAACAGACTATCGAAGCTGAAAGCGCAGCATTTGTGTCTGGAATGGCGGAAGATGTGATAAGGGAAATGGTGGAGCAGCGCGTGTTTGAGGAACTTGAGAAGCACGGTGTAGCCCTCCAGCGCTATTCAGGACACCCCTCTACCCTGACTGATGAGGAATGGACGCAGAATCAGCTTTACAACGCCATTGTGAATTCAGCACAGGAAAACATCGCTGAGGCACTCTTTCCACGAAAGGGCAAACGCGAGCAAAATCGTGAAGCTCAAAATGCCCCTTTTGGACGCCCCCGGCCGAAAGCTCAGGGATTTCAGCCGTCACCAAGCTCACTTCATAAAGCTGCGGTTCGGATCACGGAAGCCGATCTGGTGCAGGGAAGAAGGTAAATAATTTCACTCCCGGGCATCCTTCGAAGATCGATTCCACGGTTGGGGGTGCCCAATACTGAAATGAGCTCCATGATGGCACCCCAACCCCCTCCAAAAAGAGACTGGAGGGAGGAGGCGGGGGAAAACGATGAGACGGCAGGAACCCCAACAGGTGCCAGCGACACGCCAAGTGTAATTCGGCGGAAGGCATGGATGGATCGTTTCGCCGCGGACAATGGAAGCATCGATGAAGAAGATGAGGAACGATATACGGGGGTCAATCCCCTCTCATCGATTGGTTCCGCGGCATTCCCGCACGAAAGGGGAGGTCGATGGCACACGGACCTACGTTCTCGTCTTTTGCCGCTTAGCCGTGGGACTTTTCTAGGCCCTCTTGGCCAAGAAGGCTTGAGAGGATATTCAGGTTTGAGCCGCGACACTGTTCCTCAACCGAAACATTTTGAAGGAAATATTCTGGAGTATCTGCGGAAACTCCAACCACGTAAAAATTTGGGCGATACAGAGGACATGGCTCCAATAGTGTATCGATACGATATTCAAACTGCTCTTTCTAAGATGAGACTTGAATTTCAGAAGAACGTTCGTTCCGCGGCTGCAAAACTGCGAACACCATTCTTTGAAGATGCCTTCAGACTCAACATATTACCTTACGCATCTGCTGCAAAATCTCTCCAGAATGGTCACAGGATGACGCCTTGGATGTTGGCAGTCATTCGGCAGCTAAGAATTGAAGAAGAAAAAAGAAATCAAAAGATGAGACGTTTTCTCTTTGGGAGGGTTGCGACAAATTTGCGTGCAAGGCGTCTGCTAAATAGTAGCATCTGTCGAGGATCCGCATTTGCTTCCTATTTGATCGTTTTGTGGGAAAAGTGGCTGGATCGCTGGCAGAAGAAGCGCGCGCGTATGCGACAAGAGGGGGAAGCCGATTTGAACCGCGTTTTGGATATGATAGCAGCTAACCTAAGATGTCGACAAAGGCAGCAAAAAGAAGAGGCACGGCATTTGAAGGATATGAAGAACCCGCTTCTTGACCCAAGCAGCTCGCACTTCAGGGAAGTCCATTTTACCCCCAGGCATTAAGTGAGCCCTAGAAATATCAAAGAGTCCTATCTCTTTTTCATTCGCCCCCTCTCCCCCACTCTTTGTATGTATATGTGAGAGTGCCTGACGCATTTTAAACCCGTTGGATAAGGCGGCGGCAATGTATACATGTGTATTTATTTATTTATTGTCAGCTACTGTGATTTGTACCGCTTTCCCTTGTTTTGCTTTTTATTTTCGCCGGAAAAAAAAAAAAAAAAAAAAAAAAAAAACTTTTTTTCCTAGTAAACTAGAGAATAGTTTTTTATCTTTCATACCGTTGCTTTTACCAAGGACGCGCTACAAAAGTATTCGAGCCTTTTTCCGGCGCTTGCAGCCCAAGCGCGGCAAAAAAGCTGCGGCAGCAAGTGTCACAACCACGCCCCAGCGATACGCGGCTGGTCCAGACGGTGGTCGATTCCGTTAGCCAGAGGTTCAGTCGCTCGCGCAGCCACCTTCCCTTAAAATTCAGCGGGTGTGTGAAGAGCATAACACGCATTCCCTCGATGGTCACGGCAGTGAAGCTGCTCTGACTGCCGGGCTGGTTCGATTTTGGTGAGGGGCCCCACACACGTGAGAGCGTGCCGACAGCCTCCACCCACGAATTCCCCATGTCACTGGACTCGTACACCAGACGGCGGCGATAGTCAACTCGAGTGTTTATGATGAGCTTCCCCTCCCACTCAAGGGCCACAGGTTCAGAGCAGCCAAAATCGCTCCTACCCTTCCCAAACTTCCACGTCTTGCCATCATCTTCCGAGTAGAAGATCTTAGAAAAAACTTGCTTCCTTTTGTTCGTAACCTGCACAGGGTACACAAGATTCCCGTTGGACGCCACAATGGCAACACCTGCACCGCCAAGAAATTGATTTGTGTGCATTCCTTCCATTTCCGCCGGGAAAAATTCCTTCAGTGACACGGGGCTCCCCCATTTGATACTCGCAGTTATCTTGCCGCCCGCAGTGGACTTCGTGACCTCACCAACGGCAAGCAGAATATCCCAGTCTCTCGCATCACCATGCGACGTCCAGTAGCTCCTCGAACTATTGTAGCTTCCAACCAGTACGTAAAGCTTGTTGCCCTTCACAATCACTGTGGGATCCACCACACGAGAAACAGACGATGCACGACTGTTCTTGATGGCAATTTGGGTCTCCCACGTCTCCCCATCGTCCACGCTGTACTTCGCCACCGTATCAATGAGGGAGTTGTCATTGGATGTTTCGTAGCGAGCGTCCGCGATGGCAACCATCACCCCGTCCACATAACAAGGGCG